AGAAAGAGAATATCTGTCCAAAACTCCTTAAAGAATTGAACATTACTTGCAACTAATGAAATTAAGAACAGTGTAGCATGATTAAGTTCATACTAATCTAACATCGCAGCAAACAACGAAAAATGTATTGTCTTTTTCAGTGATCGGGGGTTATTATGACACTAATATTGGTGCTATTTTAAGACCTTAAATTGTGGTGTTAAACTAGCACCCCAAAAGGTGTTATTTGGTACCTTTTTATTTAACACCACTTTTGGTGCTAAATTAACACCCAGAAATTTACAGCTATTTCAATTAAGGTTGCCCCCGAGCAAAGTGGAAAAGTCGAATACAAGCACAAAAGAATGCTTAGAATCGCTAATAAATTCATGAATTTTTTAGCGATTCCCAGCAGCCTTTCGCGCTCGTAATCGACTTTTCGCTTTAGTCGTGGAGGATCCTGAAGGGGGGGTCCCAATCCATTTCCCACCTGAAATTTTGGCAAAATCCCAGTCCCAGTTGGATTTTTATTAGAAATCCCAGTCATTGAAATCCCAGTCAATAAAACCCCCTTTATTTATCGGTAGAATAAACGGTTTTAAGACCTTTTAAGCAAGTGGCGGACACTTTATGAAATATTAGGGGGGGGGGGCTTGTGCCAAAGGCACGGAAAATTTTTAAATTTGAATCCCGGAAATGGCATTTGCAGCATTCTGAAACATGCATAATCAGAAAACCCAGAATTCCGGGCGCCAGAGTATGCCTGTTCGCAGGTAGTGCTGTGAATAGTATAGTTAACAACAAAAATCATGACCAAAGACACCAAAAACGGATCAAAATTGTATTTTAAAATACTCAAAAGGCAGAAAAATTGGGAATTGACTCGCATTACCTCAATCCCATTCCCATTTCTTAGGACTTCATTTCCCATTCCCAGTGGCCAAATCCCAGTGTATGGAAGAGAGCAAATGTTCCAAAGATGGAGAATTTTCAAACACAACAAACTCGCTCCTCTACCACCCCTCCCTAAGTACATTTTCAAATTTACCCCCAAAATCTGGGGTTCACATGACCAGCTTTAGCCAGGGTCTTTCCTCCACAAGAGAGAACAGCCTGGGAACGAGGTTGACTGATTTACCGTATTGGTTTTGGAAGAGTTCACCCCAGCCATAACAGAAATATTTAATGTATCCCTAAAACTTGGAATAGTTCTTGATGTATGGAAGAGAGCAAATATTGTTCCATTTCCAAGAGAAATGGTCATTAATTCATGTCCTCAATTAAGACCTATCTCACTAACAGACATAATATGAGACTATTTGAGAGATGTGTGTAAACAAATAAGATAACAGACATCACAAGAGATTAATGGACTCTGATCAATATGGTTACAAAGAGGATATAATGCAACCATGACTCTGATTAAATGCCAACATGTGGTTAAAAAATTTGGATAATGGACCGACATATATAAGAGTTCTTTCATTTGATTTTAGTAAAAACTTTCAACAGTGTTCCACCTGACATATTGTTTGAGGAAATTACCTCTCAACCTGTATGTGATGAATTAATTACCAATTCCTGCAAGATTGTAAACAGAGAGTAACAAACAGTCAATTGCAGTCAATATAAACCATTATGGAACACATAAATCCATATCGTTTGCACAGTGCTAGAGTGTTGTGTGTGCATCAGACTATATAATCATGTTAGCCACCTTATTATGAAAGCATAACATTGGCTATCTTAGACCGTGATCTGTTAGTCCACTACTATCAGTACTACACACCATCAGTACTACCCACCTATCAGACAGTCCCTTGACAAAAACATTGAAACTGACCACAGGGGGTCCAACTCAACCTAGAAATAAACAGATGATTGAGACACAATGAAAACTGTTAGTAGCCTTAGTAGAAGTAGAAAACTCGAAAATTTATGTGTATTTGTATGGCAGTCTGTGCGCGTCTGACACTGTAAATTTGTGATGTAGATTATAGCCTAGTTGCGTGCATATATCAGGAAAACATAATCTGACCAAGAAAAAGGCTAAAGCGTTACTATAATTAATGAATACGAATTATGTACTAAAGTCTAAATCCAAAATTTTAAAGATAAATCACTGACAGACATTTCTCTGTTTGGCTAGTATGAAATGTTTACATTTGCTGATATTGGGCTCTACTCTAGTCCTAGACAATACAATACAATACTGTTTCTTTTAAAAATCTTTTAAAAATCTTATAAACAAGACGTGCAAAGCATAGCAACATTTACAAAAAAAGACAAATCTAATGCATGTTTTAAAAACATTAGATATGTAGAAATGGTGACCACTGAAAAGCCCATAAACGTTTGTTATAAAACCGCGCTCGAGTGTGAAGAGAGCATTGAATAATAATAACACGAGAGAGCACAGGAGAGAGCACTGTGAGTAACGATTTGCTTGGTTTCTTGACTTCACTGTTGGTAAAAATGTAAGAATGTTCTTGTAAATTCAATGCAAATAAAATAGACAAAAATTAGCAAGTACTTTGAACTTACTGGTAATAGTTCGCAAAATTTATGTTTTTAACTGTTTGTAATTTGATACTTTCACCACACACCCCTCGGGCAATCAATTTTGGACGAGGCACGTGACCAGCCGATACCAGGGTCTTTCCTAAAGACCCTGGGGAACGAGGTTGGGTCCAACTAAGAGCTGTGTTATGAGTATGAATAAAACATTACTAAGAGCTGTGTTATGAGTATGAATAAATTGTAATACGAATAAAACATCATAACGTAATATATTTAAATTATTGCACTTACTTGTATAAAAGTGAATAGCTTCAAACAGGGCGCTTATATATGTTCAGAAACACATTGCATGCTTCAAACGATTGTTCAAATATGGCGAATAAATTGACAAAACGAAAATATTACATGATGTTCCAATGAAAATAACAGCAAGGATTGCGGGCGCGAGCGGAAGGCGAGGGTAATAGATATTAATAGAAGGGATGAAACACCGGTAATGTGATCGTTTGATGTGTTCCTAGCCTGCGAACAGGCTCTTTGAATTGAATTAGAGCCTGCCGATTTAGTCAATAAAAATGCGTTTGTGCCCATCACTATTTATAGTGTTGTCAATCAAATGTAAAATACAATGTGACAAATTAATACAGACACGCCTTATGTAATACCCTGCGAATATAAACAAAACGCATATCTTGATTTCAACGCACTTACAACAACATTAAAAGCACTTATCTTTCTTTCTAGCAATAGTAATTGTGAATTCACATAAACACCGCAACGACTTACTAGCGTACTAGAATGCTCAAGAATGCAAATTATAGTCGCCTTTGTCTTAGAGTAAAGATGCTATTGTTGATATAAGAATGTTGCCGTTGTATTTGCCAAACTCTCTTATATAGTATACAGCTAAAACATTGTTTCCGTCTAGAATATTATTAAGAGCTTTTGACTGTCCATCCTTTAACTTTAAACAAAGATTTAGTTTTCTATACAACTCGTCGCTATAGAACGATATTTTCGATTTGAACCATTGTTGTGTAAATTTAATTACCTTTTATGGCAGTATAATGTCGTTAATTCAATTTCAACCAATGGGAATCCTGCGTCGTTCTAAGCAACGCACAGACGCGTTTTTATTAGCTAGGCCTGCAGGCTCTCTCTCAAATTTCAAAGAGAGTTAAAAGAGAGCCTGTTCGCAGGTTAATGTGTTCCATAAGTAGCCTGTTCTCTCGGAAAATTCCAAAACGCCTCCTGCCAACTCCAACAACCCCTAAGCGCTTAATTAATGAAAATAAACAATGTTTAGCTATACCGGCTTACATGAAATATTTAAATGTAGTGACCAACTTTTTTTACACTATTTAGTTTTATTATTATTGCGTCATACGTCACGAGAACAGGCTACTTATGGAACACATCTCGCGAAAATGGCCAAGAATGCTCGCTGTTATAAATCACATAAATTAGATTGATCAGTGCTTTTTGGTAATGACTAGGCTTGTTCATGTAAGAGAACATCGACTGAGCCTTAAAAAACCCACAAAAAGCTTACACGGATAGTCTAGAAGCATTTTAAAAAGTCATGTGATATTTGTTTCATCCCTTTTATTTATTTCTTCCCTCGCCTTTTCGCTCGCGCGCCCGCAATCTCTGCTTCTCTGCTGTTATTTTCGATCGAACGTCATGTAATATTTTCGTTTTGTCAATTTATTCGCCATATTTGAACAATCTTTCGAAGCAATGTTTCTGAAGATATATAAGCGTCCTGTTTGAAGCTATTCACTGGAAATACAAGCTCTTATGATTTATACAAGTGCAATAATTTAAATATATTATGTTATGATGTTTTATTCATATTACGATTTATTTTTTTATTCATACTCGTAACACAGCTTTTAGTTGGACCCCCTCTGTGAACTGACGTTATCTATTAAAACTGTCTGTACCAGTGTGGGTAGTACCCATAGATATCTTATATACACTAGATTGCGCATCTCTTTTAGTAAAATTGAAGCCAACAATATTCCAGCGGTTACCCCCATTTGAATAGATGGCGGCCATGTTGGTCGTTCCCACTTGCTAATAAACGCTTAAAAACAACAATAATTTTCATCATTTGAATATTTTAAAAACGAATTTGGAATAGGGTTAACTTAATGTTTAAAGGCAGAGTGCGCCCAAATTCGCGCATGCGCATTGCGTTCAAAAACTTGAAAAACTTAATGTTGTAAATCAAGTTTTAAGAATCAAAATGGCGTCGTATATAGTCTACAGTACTAAGGGGTAAAGAAAGTTTTACGAGTTTAAAATCAGTTATATAATGATGTATATTTGTGCGAAATCAAGGCTAATAAATTGATCTCTGGATGTTACGAATTATCACAATTATTATGTATGCGAAGTGTAATTTGATACCCGTCTATTCAGATGAAGCATCGAGCGGTATATTTGACACATGGCGCGGCTGGCCGAATTTCACATTTTTACACACGTTCAATGCTATGGAAAGCTCTAAAACTGACAGTGACGATAACTTTCAATCGCCTGAAAGTGGTACGCACGGTGGGAAACGACGTGGTTCTGGGAGGAAACGCAAGCATGAGGAAGGCTACGAGAACGTACGTACGAAGTGCGATTTGGAAGACCATTTCCTTGCACAATGAATACAATGATGTCTATGACCTGTGGATGGATGTACGCGAAATTCATCAACTCCAATGACAAGTCGAGTAAGCCATCATCAAGCAACAATTTTACATCAACTCGAAGGCAATTAAAAACACAACTTTTTAATTCAGGTATTTATACTTTTCTCTCATACGTATGCCTTTTTAATACTCGCCTATGTGTTTTAAATTTATGAATGATATATACAGTGAACTGAATATATAATAGTTTATATACAAGATTTTAATACTACTGCATGTTCCTATTTTCTATTGTCACTGTATTGGGCCTATAATTGGCCCATTAATAGCTATACCCATCATAGAACACATGGCGGTATTTGCTTTCCTAGACCTTGCTACCATTTCATCTCGAATATTTTTCTTGTTTTATCTCTTGAATTATACTTTTATATGATTTATTCCTTCATAAATTCATATGTATTCGGCCATTTAAATATATAGCCCCTCCCCCCCCCCCTATTGAGGGGTCCCTTCATAATCCCCTTAGGATATAAAAATTTAGGGCCCCTTTGGGTGCGATTTTTTTAAGTTACCCCATGGATATATTTAAACCCCCTTTAGGACATCATATTTGCCCCCTTGGATATCGGTATGGAGTATGCAGCCGTCGTCGTTGGAGTATAAAGACAGCTAAAAGATGGAAACCAGTGATTGTTGAGAAGAATTACTGAGCTACATTCCCATTCTGAGTGCTCATGTGTTGAAAGAGGCAAGCAAAGAGTTTCTGAAGAAAGTAAAACCATCCACATCTGATCAAGATCCAACGAAAATAGCCCCAACAATTGCCAGTCTACCTGCTACCTCATACCACAAGATTTTAGATTACAGTAGATATACAACCTTTTCAAGCTTCTGATAATAACGTCATTTGGCCTGGGAGCCTTGATCTCATGAATCGTGTGCCAATCAGCTTCCATAATTTACTAATGAAAGCGAGGCTCCAAGACCAAAAAGTATGTGTGGCATAATTATCGAAAGGGTGTATTGTCAGAACTACTGAGTACTTTGATAGAAAAAACTTATCAGTGCATAATACTTGCTCTGAAAAACAGTAAACAGTTTAAATTGTCTATTTGTACATTCGACTAGTAAGTAAGTTGTCTTTCTGGAATGATCTCTCTTGAAGATGACTATCACAATTATTATGTATGCGAAGTGTAATTTGATACCCGTCTATTCAGATGAAGCATCGAGCGGTATATTTGACACACGGCGCGGCTGGCCGAATTTCACATTTTTACACGCGTTCAATGCTATGGAAAGCTCTAAAACTGACAGTGACGATAACTTTCAATCGCCTGAAAGTGGTACGCACGGTGGGAAACGACGTGGTTCTGGGAGGAAACGCAAGCATGAGGAAGGCTACGAGAACGTACGTACGAAGTGCGATTTGGAAGACCATTTCCTTGCACAATGAATACAATGATGTCTATGACCTGTGGATGGATGTACGCGAAATTTATCAACTCCAATGACAAGTCGAGTAAGCCATCATCAAGCAACAATTTTACATCAACTCGAAGGCAATTAAAAACACAACTTTTTAATTCAGGTATTTATACTTTTCTCTCATACGTATGCCTTTTTAATACTCGCCTATGTGTTTTAAATTTATGAATGATATATACAGTGAACTGAATATATAATAGTTTATACACAAGATTTTAATACTACTGCATGTTCCTATTTTCTATTGTCACTGTATTGGGCCTATAATTGGCCCATTAATAGCTATACCCATCATAGAACACATGGCGGTATTTGCTTTCCTAGACCTTGCTACCATTTCATCTCGAATATTTTTCTTGTTTTATCTCTTGAATTATACTTTTATATGATTTATTCCTTCATAAATTCATATGTATTCGGCCATTTAAATATATAGCCCCTCCCCCCCCCCCTATTGAGGGGTCCCTTCATAATCCCCTTAGGATATAAAAATTTAGGGCCCCTTTGGGTGCGATTTTTTTAAGTTACCCCATGGATATATTTAAACCCCCTTTAGGATATCATATTTGCCCCCTTGAATATCGGTATGGACTATGCAGCCGTCGTCGTTGGAGTATAAAGACAGCTAAAAGATGGAAACCAGTGATTGTTGAGAAGAATTACTGAGCTACATTCCCATTCTGAGTGCTCATGTGTTGAAAGAGGCAAGCAAAGAGTTTCTGAAGAAAGTAAAACCATCCACATCTGATCAAGATCCAACGAAAATAGCCCCAACAATTGCCAGTCTACCTGCTACCTCATACCACAAGATTTTAGATTACAGTAGATATACAACCTTTTCAAGCTTCTGATAATAACGTCATTTGGCCTGGGAGCCTTGATCTCATGAATCGTGTGCCAATCAGCTTCCATAATTTACTAATGAAAGCGAGGCTCCAAGACCAAAAAGTATGTGTGGCATAATTATCGAAAGGGTGTATTGTCAGAACTACTGAGTACTTTGATAGAAAAAACTTATCAGTGCATAATACTTGCTCTGAAAAACAGTAAACAGTTTAAATTGTCTATTTGTACATTCGACTAGTAAGTAAGTTGTCTTTCTGGAATGATCTTTCTTGAAGATGACTACAGCTTATTAGTCAAAACATACAAATAAACAATTTTGAGGATGTTTTTAAAATACTTCCAGAGAAATTACTGTGTTGTATATAATTATATGGGTTTGTGTCAAAAAAACTATGGGTAAAATTTCATATAAGGATCCCAAATGACGTCACAGAGGGTTGTGTATGGGCTGGGTGGGAGTAAGGGTTATATTTTGGGATTCTTATATAAAACTTCATCTACAATTATGCCTCCACAAGCAAAGATTTATGGATAAAGAGAGCAGATATATATAAATTCTATTTGTGAATGTACATATTTTATTTGTGCTATATTCAATAATTGATAAAATGGACAATTGTGCAATTCTGTCCATATCATAGAAACAAAATAACCATAAAGCCCCATTTACACGAGCAAATTTTATTTGACAAATTTCATATGTCAAAGATATTTTGCTCGTGTAGATGATAAATTTGTGACAAATTTATTGTGACAAATGCATTTGAACAAAAGCCAGCATGCTAGCTTTTGATCAAATGTATTTGATCAAATGAAATTTGTCAAAAAAAATTTGCTCGTGTAAACGGGGCTTAATTTTCTACTATAAAACCCTGACTGCCCACTCCCTTGACCCTCTAGGTCAAGGCATATCTCTATATCTGGTATAATGTCTATCAGGTGAAGGATGTTTTTCGAATTTTCCACACACGGCATGCATGGCTATGTATCTACTAACACACTGTCAATATGCTGCATGCCTCATCACTCTATTGTCATATGTTTGTGTAAACACATAGGTATCTGCCAAAACTTTATGAAGGTGGCCAATTTATCTGCGTCCAAGCAAATGTTTTGGAATGTGCAAGTGTTCTACTCTTGTATTTCTTTGTAGCACACCCTCTTTCTGTCTGTTGGCATCTCTCTGCAATATCCACATACACAGAATGGTGCATTTGACTGCTCGAATTATTACACTGAATCATGCCGTAGCTGCTCCACCAAATTTTTTAAAACTATTAATGCTCTGAACTTAAAACCCTCCTTTGCTACTTTGACAAGGATCTGCATGGTTATCCAAACCATCAATTATCTCCTAGGTAACAAAGACAACTAACAGTTACGATATATTTATATATAAAGGCACTTGAGTTCACACATACAAAAATTCTGTACCAATATTTCTAGACCTTGTTTGGTATGGTACGACCCCTTTGAATCATTGTTTATTCATAAAGATTAAAGCATCATACATGATATAGCGTATGCATTCATCACTGTATAAATATGCAGCTTGCTCATATCAAAACCAAATCAAATACAAAATTAATATTCAAAATCAGAGAAACTCATTGACATTTCAACTCAAATACTGTACATACCTTTTATATATTTTTACATGGTTTACTCCTCGTACCACAAGTGCACGCGCTTCCTCTGCAATGACAGCCACTCACCTTTCCATTCGTAGAGGTCTTTAACTTGCGCATACATTGCGATTTACAGCCACAGTAAAGTATCCTCGGTTGAGCGACCATATGTGTAAACAGTGTTTAATAGTGTTACATAATTATCAATTGAACCGAATTTTACAGCAATTTGGATACTTTTCTTTTTTACATTAATATCCAAAAATACAGCCTTACATCGCTAGACTCATCTAAATCAGATGTTTTGTCTTCAGGCGATGAACTCATGGCGATATAGCTTCTTTCGTTTTGTAAATTTAAAGAGCCAAACTCTTCGTTTGCCGCCATAGTAATAGAATATTAAGTTGCGTGTAACCTGAGCCGCTTGTCATATCAATCAATCAACAGCGGTATTCTCGGTCACGTGGGGTGCTGCATTCTGCCTTTAAGTTCCCTGTTTAAGAAATAGAAAACATACGAATCTTCTAATTTCATGGGAACGACCTGAGACTGCAATCACGGCTTCAATTTTTGAACTTCAGAATAATTAGATGCACTATCTAGTGTATATAAGATATCTATGGTAGTACCAATGTGAAATTGCTGTGCTAAGTGGTTATATTACTACCTAAAAAAAAACAAGCAGAAACTCGACATTTCGAGCAAAGGCCCTTTATCAAGAGTTGACTTTGACGTTATCTACCTTCATGTTGTGAAAGCATTTGACTGTGTATATTAATTATATATTTAATGTTCTCAATAAATATATTTGAAACTCAATATTGGACTTGACAAATATGCAGACACTGCCTCAACTGGAGGACAGATGGTCATTTCTATACAGAATAAAGTTAGGTAGGAATACAGCAGAGTCATGTATAGAAGGGTTAAACAATTGTCTCTGTTATACAAACAATGTTTACAATATTAGTGTTTGTGACAATGCATGACTCATCGGACCCTCCATTTAGGGATCTAATGTTAGCAATAAGAAAATTATTAAGTAAGTACAGATTAACAGTATTGATGTGGGCATCCACAGGCGGCCCAATCTCGCAAGGGTCAGTATAGACTTTATACAGTATAAATTTATATTATATTAATTGTATATTATAGTAAAAATATGTCATAAAATATAAATTTTAAAATGAAATTGACTTGCCTATTTGATAGTGTGTGTTCTCCTTGTATTCCTCCTTTGTTGGACTAATATTTTCCGAGACCTTGTACTCGATGTTACTATTATACATGAAACATGATAAAGGCTAACGATTCCCGATCGTCGATACGACCGCACGGCACTTCGAATCGAAAATTCTCACACTCAAATCGCTTTATTCTCAAAACAAATTCGCCAGCATGTACAACAAATGCCGTTCTTCTAAAATACAGAGGTATTTCGGCGAGATGTACAAGTTTTGGACCATATTTTAACAATGGAAATCAAAACCCATTTTATATTGAACTTACCCGGACCGAAAATTACTACGGCGAATGTCTGCGCAACCAGGCCTCCTTTACCGTTGGATTTACAGGGGGGAGGATGCCACTAATATATTCACGATAATATTTCGAATTAAAGTATCATATTCTACCATACTTTCCAACAAAGAGCCGCTGTATATTACTTCTTCCTTAAATTTCTTCAATCTCCGTCGTTTAATTTTCTTTTCTTTGACAACATCTCGAGTTTTATACTGTATCCGATCGAAGGAGTTTTTATTTTGAATATCAAATTTCAAATAATGTAAACAGTCGCTACGCGGCCGCGATTGGCTGGCTGTTACCGGAAATATCTGCTTCCCCCCTGTAAATCCAACGGTAAAGGAGGCCTGGTTGCGCAGACGTTCGCTGTAGTAATTTTCGGTCTGGGTAAGTTCAATATAAAATGGGTTTTGATTTCCATTGTTAAAATATGGTCCAAAACTTGAACATCTCGCCGAAATACCTCTGTATTTTAGAAGAACAGCATTTGTTGTACATGCTGGCGAATTTTTTTTGAGAATAAAGCGATTTGAGTGTGAGAATTTTCGATTCGAAGTGCCGTGCGGTCGTATCGACGGTCGGGAATCGTTAGCCTTTATCATGTTTCATGTATACTAGTAACATCGAGTACAAGGTCTCGGAAAATATTAGTCCAACAAAGGAGGAATACAAGGAGAACACACACTATCAAATAGGCAAGTCAATTTCATTTTAAAATTTATATTTTATGACATATTTTTACTATAATATACAATTAATATAATATAAATTTATACTGTATAAAGTCTATACTGACCCTTGCGAGATTGGGCCGCCTGTGAGGCATCTAGAAAACTAAGATCTCGAAAACTTTGAAATTTATAATTAAGTCTGTGTCATAATAGAGTTTTTGTATCTGCGCTAGCGCAGATACATTGCCATCGTGCAGACCGTGTGTTAGCCCGGAGCCAATCAGCGACAGCGATCAGCATCACGTGTGCCGTTTTGATCTATATATTTTGCAAAACCATAAAAACCCTCAACTGGATGGATATATATTATATTCAATAAATTCAAAATGGCCGCCTTCGATGGAGTGAATATATGTTTTCATATATGCGAAATTTTATATGTGTATACTGTTGAAAGTGTACATAACAACCTTGTATTTCCACGTTCTATTTTGCAACATAACAGTACGATTTCGTCGATTACCACAGTATATGTTTTAAATGTTTCTGAAGCAGAGTTGCAGAGTGAATATAAAGGGACGAAATATATAACTATAAACTTTGTGGCCGAGCCACAGTATGAAGCAGAGTAAATAAGGTAAGAAATATATAAACTTTATGTACGTGTTTTAAATGTTTGTGAAGCAGAGTCGCAGAATAAGGTATAAAGAAATATACGAGACACTAGTGTACC